GGTAAAATCTGACAATTCTTTTGAGATTTAAAGTTTGTTTATGTAAAATTACACAATTATGGCCCTGGCTGGTGTAGCTCAGTGGATTGAGCATGGGCCTACGAACCAAAAGTTCAAGGTTCCATTCCCCATCAAGGCACGTGCCTGGGTTGCAGGCCAGTTTCCAGCAGGGACCAGTTCCCAGCAGGAGATGAACCAGAAGCAACCATACATTGATATTTCTCTCCTCTCCTACCCTTCCCCTCTGAAGATAAATAAATAAAATCTTTTCAAAAATTACACAATTAAGTACAATATCATGATTAAATAATGAACGCCAAAGCATGATGTGAATCTCGAGCTTTCAGTACTTTGGCTAAATTCTAGGGCCAAACTGCTCATCCAAAACAGAGAGGGTAGGGCGTGCATCTCCTCACTGACGGCTAACGCACGAAATGATCTGAGCCTGCCAGGACGGTCACCACTGAGCTTATGGCCCCTGCCTGTTTTCATTACGAGATTTAAGGTTATAAGAAGTTGCGAGGACCACCCCGACGACAGCGGCTGGACTCCTTTCTGCCTCTCATTTGAAAGAACGTGCACTTGGAAAATGGATTTGGGGGTTCCTTGAATTACACCAGTCTCCGTCCCCTGGAACCTGAAGCCCACAGGACGGGACTACAGGTCTAGCCTTACAGAATCGAAGAATCGGAACTACACAGTGACTACCCCTGCTGTTCAGGACGGAGCAGGAAGGCTCGTTTTGAGAGGGATTCGTGAAGTGGCGTGACTGGGGCAGTGGTTTCAGAAGCAGAAGGTGGCACCGACGTGACTCTTAAACCGGCCACTGCCATGCCTTGCCCACTAGGCACGGTTCCTGGTACACGGCAGCACTCCTATCTGTGAGCGAAGGAATCGCTGACCCAGCTCAGGTAGGCTGTTCAACTCCTCTCTGTACTTGAAACTTTATTCTGCATATAAAAGTAGGCTTTCTTTGGCATAATCTTCTCAGATGATATCTCTGGAGTGATTGAGGCACTCTCAAACTCTGACACTGAGACAAGTGGAAACTCTTTTCCACTTGCAAAAGTGGTCCTTTCATTTCATGCAAAACTCACATAAACAGGTGAGTTCTCTGTCACAATTCCCATGCTGAGGCTCATCTTTCACCTTATTAAATGTCACTTCCTCAGGAAGAAGTCCCCAAGCCCCTGAGAATATTATGTCCAGAGTTGTTCTGCCCCTTGAACACTGTGCTTTTCCCTTGGGCGCACACCACAATTTCAGTGACGTGTACAGCTCTGTGTTAAATGTCTGTCCCTGCTCCAGACTTGGGACGTCCTGAAGATGGGGTTCATGTAGGCCTGGCTGACGGACCACCTGGGTCCTGCACCTCGAAGCACCTGGCACACCAAGGTGTCCAGGAAATACTTATTCAATGAACATTTGAGAACAAAGAGCCAGTCAATGGTGTCCATTCAATATAGCCAAGTAATAAAAGCTTAGAAATCAAGTACAGGAGCATTAAGTCATCAAGTGTGATGCTCAGAACTTCACTCTGCTCTCAACTTGAAACTGAGCAAAGCTGTTCCGTGCAGGGATAGTGAGAAGGGAAGTGGCTGTACCCCGGTTCATCTGTGAGCCATTTTACAGCCTCCAAACCCTCCAGCACGTACGCGGCCTCATGACTCAGAGTCTCCAGAGAATTCAGACAGAGCTCTCTGCCGTTCAAAATGAATGTTTTAAAGAGTCGTGACAGGTATGAAACCGATTTATCCTGAAAGTTTTTATAAATGACTTCCAGACTATCTGGGGTTTTTGTTGTTGTTTTTTTAAGTGTTCTGCACAGTACTGCCTCACAAACTACCTGGGACACAGTTCTTTTTTTGTTTTAATTTTCAGAGAACTGAAACAAATATCGATTCCAAGTAAAATCATCAGGCTTTGCAGAATATAGAGCAGTTTCATTTTCTCAAAGGACACAGAAAGGCAATCTGAGAGCTTCTGCTGAAAGGGATTTCCCAGGGATGGTGGTTAACTGACCTACACGTCTAAGGTTCCAAAATAAACTTCTCAAACCTTTTCAGAGGCACATACCCTCCAGAATTCTGTGAAGGCAAGAATAGGAGAGAGAGATTTAAATGATAAACTCTGATGATTAGTTTTTAAGGTACTGTGACTACATATGCAAATTCATAAACAGAAAGACTACAAGATGAATCAGACCTGGGTAAACAACAGAGTAATGGGAGTGTGCAAGTCTGTGAGAACAGCACTTACAAGCTGTGTTGCTATAATCTGTGTTCTTTCTTAGTAATCTGACAAACAATTCCTGTGTTTCAGAGATCATGAACTCCTCACACTGTAGCTTAACGAGCTTATATCTAATCCTATGATTCCTAAATTTTAGACTAGCCAGGTCAAAGCCAATTAAAGTTTTATTTGAAAACCTTGAAATAAAGTGAGCAAAGTACTTGTTTTGGAAAAAGATTTTTGTTCCATCATCCTAAGGAATGTGCTTGGGAATCTGGGTTTGCAGTAACATAATATTTAATATCTCTATCCAATTTTATGAATGTCAAAGTGTTTGAGACACACACAGGATTTTAATCTGACTCACATAATAACCTTGTGAAATAGGCAGGCCAAGGATTTTATAGATGAAGAACATGAAGTTCCAAAAGGTTTTGTTTCCTGACTCCGGATCATCACTTAGCAATGGGAGAACTAAGGTCGGAAGGGTTTCTGATCCTGAGATCACTGCTGTTTCTAAAGAGCCGGACCATTCAGGCCCCTCTCAAGCTGCCGCTCACTTCCTATCCCTCACCCAAACAAGCAACGAGACAGCAATGGCCATGACTTCGAGTACAGAAAGACTACCCAGCATATTAAGGACTCAGACCTTAGAAACCTTCTAAAATTATGGCTCACTATGCTTGGCGATGTGTCAAGCTTACATAAAGAGCACTACTTTGCATCAGAAAAGAATAATGAATATGTTTTCTCTTTTTATGAAGACAGGAGACCTTCCTCACAAGCACAAGAATCACCAAGTCCAGCTGCTCTGTAATGCAGTGTGAGATTTGAATCACAAGGTAGAATAAGACTCAAAGCATAATCTTCCCAGTGCAGCAGGGTGGGGGCAACGGGATGAGGCCTCGGGAAGAAAAGCTGTTAACTATTCAATGTGGGAGGGGAAGGGCTTCTTGGTCTGTGACTTTCTTTTTTTTTACGAGCGGCTCAGTTTTCTGAAGGGGAAAGGGTTCATTTCTTTATTTAAAAATACCGTAAGTATCTGTGAATCCTAGAGTTCAATAGGCAAAAAAAAAAAAAAAAAAAAAAATCCACATTCAGTCCTTTAACTTCCCAAATCTAGTTTTCTTATCTATAGTGTACACTATTCTGTTACATTTGCACAACCTAAAGTTAAAAATAGGCGGGACTATCAAATAACCTCCCTAGAATATAAGGGTCAAAGTAGGACTGATCTATATAAGAGGGTTCACTCTGATCTTTGGGAGCAAACACACTTTATTTCATAGTCAGCCTTGTTCTTTTAAGGCAATGGTTTCAACCCTGGATACATATTAGAACTGAGTTTTTAAAAATACAGGGTCCTCTAATCCTGCTCCAAACCAATGAAATCAGAATCTCTTTAGAGACTGGCTGGTTCTAGGAGTCAGCTGGAATTGAAAACCTCTGGTCTAAGTGCTCAGTTATCCAGTTTTAAATACTCCAACATGATGTCATATTCCTATTTTCCCATGGAAGAAATATTCACAGTACAAAGATTGACAGCCACCACAATTTAGAAACATCAGAGTTTTATAAAGATTTTATTTATTTATTTTTAGAGAAGGGAAGGGAGGGAGAAAGAAGAGAGGCAATATCAATGTGTGGCTGCTTCGCACACGCCCCCCTACTGGGGACCCCGCCCACAATTGGGAATCAGACAAGCGACCCTTTGATTAGCAGGCTGGCTGGCACTCAATCCACCGAGCCACACCAGCCAGGGCACAAGCTGGAAGAGTTAGTTGGATATAAGCAGATATTCTTAAGTAAATCACAAATAATACCCTTAATAAATACTAATCAAATACCAACAACAATCACAAAAACAGGAAAAAATTAAAGCAGAAAATAATTTTTTTACAGTTTTTATAACTCCATAGAACTAGGTAATGCTCACTTAAGCATGACTTGAGGATTAAACCATACTAAAAAGTTTATCTTCCACTGAACAGTAACCGATCTTGTAAAACATCTGATTTTTAGAATTTTCCCATAGCTATAAGTTAGAAAAGACAAATAAAAAAAGACCAGAACTACAAGACAGCCTATTACACAGGTACATGAAATAAGTTCAAAGGGGAGTTTCCACCGCTCAGAGGACAAAGGACTTCTCAGAAACATGACTGCAACAGGATTGCTCACTTCTTACTCAACCTGGTGCCGCTGAAAAGGAGGTTGCTCCGTTCCCACCTTAACTGCCTATCTGTGGCCCTGTGACAGCTGGAGTCAACAGAGATAAGTCTGGCTGCTGGAAAAACCGAAACGCCGAGCTGCCTTATTTTTAAGCTTGCTCTGAAACTCTTCCCTATTATCTGATTCTGTGACTTTGGCAATAGCTGCTTATTAGTTACAGCTGGAGAATGAGTGACTGAACCCGGTCTACGTTATGCACTAAAGCAAACAGAAAAATAAAAACATGTTCCATGGACGTTTTAGCATTTTTATAAAAATGTCCTCACATTCTAAGTAGGCTTAGGTTAAAAAGTTTGAGACCAAAAGATGCAGGAAAATCTAAGACAGATGGAACACCCTCACTAAACCTGGGTGGACTAACTGGAAAATATTTAAGATTTCTATTCCATGAACTTCCTGATTAAGAAGGCATTAACAGCTGTTACAGTAAAAAGAAGAAAACACTAAAGGTTAGAAAAGAATTCAGATTTTTGTCTTTTTATTTCTAGGTCAGAGAGCAGCAAGCAAATGTAACCAGGGGAGTGGAAGAAACTTACATGATTTATCATGGACTGAACAGCCTTTACATAATGGTTTAGTTCCCGATCCATCATGACGAATTCAACCATCGCCTTATCCATGCTGTATTCACTACTCACTTCGGCTGAAAGAAAGAAGAAAGCAATTATTATTTCCCATTTAAAATGCCCTATCTGGAAAAAGCTGTGCCAATATAACATCTATCACTCAATGCTCTAAATGATTTTTAAAGGCATTACATGCTTTTTCGAACTTCCTCGACATGTGCGTACTTCATTCAAAATGCTAAGAACATACCCTCTTGAAAAAGGCTCAAAGGCAGACAGGTGGACTCCAACCCAGGAGTTCCCGCCTCTGCCACTTACTCGTATGGTCTGTACTCCGTCACTGCTCTTCTCCCAGCCCCAGGTCCCTCTCCCACAAAAGTGCCCGAGTCACCCACCTGCACACGGGCCTCATCGGACTGTTAGAGGCCAAAGGAGGAAGATTCCCACTCCTACTAACAGTAGGTTGGGCTGTAAGAACCAATCCTCCTATTGAAGACAACCAAAAAAATTGAAGAAAAAAAAAAAAAAGAAAGAAATCTTAAAAACAAGAGTCACAAGATAGTAAAAAATCAACCAGAGCAAAATCCAGGGGGAAAAAATGTGAAAGAAAAGCCAAGCACCAAAGTCACATAGTCAGCTAGGCTTCCTTCCTCGGAATAAACGAACCAGGAGTAATCCCACCCTGCTTCCCAGCTGTGGGAGGTTGGCCTTGGCCGCTGAGCGGAACAGAGGGAAGAGGGAGAGAAAACGAATTACCTACTTCTGAAAAACGGTGGCCATGAGCCAGCCCTCCTGGATTTGCAGCCTTGGTTCCCCCTGACCTGAGGGGTCCTGGGAACCTAAGAACTCCCGATTGGTGTGGTGTGGGGCAGACTCAAAGTGCCCACGCGTACTCCCCTCTGGAGAAGACACTTCCACCCAAGAAATAATTATAAGGGGTAACAGGCAGAGTATGGGGTGGGGCCAGGGAACACAGGTTTGGCGGGGGGACCTACGCTAGAAAACATATGAGAACAAGCCATCAAGACTAAGGATCAGCAGACACAGATCCATGAATGTTCCAGATGTTGGGATTATCAGTCAGGATGTGAAACTGCTATGCTTGCTATGTTTAAAAGTTAAAATACTCTCAGGGAACAGGAGATTGGAAAAGTGAGATGAGTTTCTTCAAAGTGTTTTAAAATTGTTTTCTTAAACTCTAAACACAATGTAAAAGAGAGAGAACACAGGACCAGAACAGGACCATAAAACTTTCAACATTAAAAAAGCTGAATGAAAGGAAAATAAAGCTGACTTCTATCATATTTGGAAATGCAGGTAGTCAAAGACTCTATTCAAATGGTGGCATTTCTTGACTACTCTGAAGAACAATACGACAGATCATCCCAAAGTCATGAAATAATGTAAAATCCACTTACATGAGGCTTCTTAAAATGACTTTCCTGGGCTTTCAAATTAGTCTTTGATTTGACAACAGTTAATTACAAACACCTTCCATAAAGTATCTGAGTTAATCTGCTTCTGGGAGAACACGGCTTGGCTTTTAACACCTAGACTTTGCTATAATACTCACGACCTCCTACTGGGATCACATGGATTAATTTGTGAAGCACTTAGAACTGTGCCTTTAACAAGAAAAATGCTATGAAAAGTTTTACAAAGGAAAATAAATAGGATGATGGTTCTCATTATCAGAGTCAGACAGCAGTTTCAAGACCGTGGCCACGGAGAGCTCCCCTGGGAAGGAGAAAGTGAGCGATGGCTGGGTCAGCAGCCGACAGCATGGAGCCTGAGGGAGAACCTCGGGCGGCTGACTGCGGCTTGCAGGTAGGTGGCCCCGCCGAGGCTCCGGGCCCGGGGCTGCCTGGGCGAGCTGAAGAAGCTACCTGATGAATGAATGGTGCGGCCCGAGGCAGCGAAGGGAAAACACCATTAGACATGAGGAAGTCAGTCCTAAAAATAACCGAGAATGACACCGCTCCTGGAAGTGATGCCCAGTTGGGTAACTGCAGGCTGAAGTGGGCGTCTGGTCTGTTGCAGAGACCAGAGACTGCGGATGAGAAGGAGCAGAGACTCCCTAATGGTACCAGGAAGACAGGCGATGGGAGTGTCTGTGTCCAGTTGCAACCTACCTCCACGATTTTAAGATCATTTTTGTGATTCTTTTTATTCTTCTTGTGAACCCTTACTCCCCTTATTACTGCAAAAATAACCTCTTTTATAAAATGTTATTTGGGTTCATGTTTCAGGAACACTAGGCTAGGGAAGACATAAGAGAATCTGTGTCTTCTACTAAAGAATTAAGGGAGGAAAAGAAGAGCACAGTGTTGCCTTAAAATGGCCAAGAGACCAAATAAATCTCCACAGAATTCAAGAATTCAGGAGGGAAGAGGGATTAAACAAATAAACAGGGAGCTGGCTGATGACCAGAAAGGGGCAGGGAATGGGGGGGAGGGGTGGAGAGTGAAGGGCCTGACCAGCCAGAGGGTCCCGGCTCCTTTGGTCCACAGTCTATAGCATCCCACCCTGGAAAACCCCCTCTCACAGGGAAAGTCCTTCCTAAGAATCCGCACCAACCAATCGTTTCCCTGCACACCCATCCTTTCAGGGCTGAGCTCACCCCTGCACCTGCTTTTCAACTGTGTCAGCCTAGAAGGATCTCACTCAATTTGTCACAACTGTACTTGATATTTGGTACTTTGACCATAAACAACCTTGTCTTTTTATATGCATTCATCTCCTTCCTCCAAATAGATTTTAATCCATTATGGGAAAGAACGATGCCTTACTCTTCTTGGGATCCAGCAAAGAAGTACAAGCAACTCTTCAGTATTCTTTATATGGCCATTATTTAACAAAGTTTGAAATTAAATTTTCACGAACTATGAACTGTCCTGCCTCAGATATTTGACTGAATTAAAATATAAAGACATGATATAAATTCATTTGCCTATTATATTTTCATTGTGATTTTTTTCCATGGAAAGAGACCAGCACCAGTCAGGTGGTGGGGGATGGAGGAGGGGGAGGAGGGAGGAAGAGAATCACACAAAAGATGAAACTCACAGAATGGCAGTCCCAGAGAGGAAAGTATTTCTCTACCCCACCTTGGCAAGCCTGGCATTAGAGAAAACTGGCGCAGGTGATAAAGTGTGGAAAGTAACGACAACAACATATACAACGATGAGAGTAGCGGCAGCTAACAGTTACTGTTTCGTATTTACCGGTATTTACAATAAACCTCACGGCAACACTGGGAGATAGGCAGTTCTACCTCCCCTTCTTGGATGAGACCTTGAAGCACTGAGCAGCTGAAGCGACTTGCCCAGGGCACAGCAGGCCTCCACCGCAGGCTTCCTTACTACCAAGTCTGGGCACCCGCCCGCCTAGGCTGAGGGGCCCAGCACCCGAGGACCGGCTCCGCTAACTCCTCCGGAACATCCAGGGAGCAGGCCCTCAGTGGGGAGGAAGTCGTGGCCGTGAACTGTACTTCAGCTCCCTCCTGATCCCTTCCGGGAAGGACACAAGGTAATGCCTCCGAAATGCTGGCAGACCTGGTCCAGTAAAAGCTTTTCCAAATCCCTCAAGTAGAGGAATCTGATGAAAAAGAATAAATTTCCCTTTTAGAAGATTGCAGTTGACCCCTGAACAACACAGGTTAGAACTGCACACGTCCACTTACGAGCAGATTCTTTAAAGGATTACTGCAAATGTATTTTCCTCTTCCTTATGATTTTCTTAATAACATTTTCTTTTCTTCAGCTTACTCTAAGAATACAGTATAAAACAGATTTAACATACAAAATAGGTGCTGACTGACTACTTATGTTATTGGTAAGGCTTCTGGCCAACGGTAGGCTAACAGCAGTTAAGCTTTGGGGAGTCAACGGTAATACACGGATTTTCAGCTGCGCAGAGGTTGGCAACCCTAACACCCAGGCTGCTCAAGAGTCAACTGCACCAAGTTTTTTTTTTTTAACTGATTTATTAGGGTGACACTGGTTAACAAAACTATATAGGTTTCAGGTGTACAATTCTATCACACATCATCTGTATACTGCATTGTGTGTTCACGACCCCAAGTCATTTATCCCCCCTTTACCCTCCTCCACCTCCCCCCACCGCCCTTTCCCTCCAGGAATCGCCAAACTGTTCTCTGTGTCTGAGTTTTGTTTTCCCTTAATGCCTTCACCTTTTCCACCCGGCCCCGTGGTGCCTCTCCCCTCTGACAGATGTCAGTCCGTTGTGAGTCTGTTTCTACTTTGTTAATTTTGTTCATTAGATTCCATGTGTAAGTGAAATCATATGGCGTCTGTCTTTTTCTGCCTGGCTTATTCTACTTAACATAATACTCTCCAGGTCCATCCACGCTGCCACAAAACGTAAGATTTCCCTCTTTTTTACTGCCAAGCTGTGTTCCATTGTGTATATGTCCCATAGTTGTTTTATCCACTCATCTACTGATGGACACTTGGGCTGCTTCCATATCTTGGCTACTGAAAATAACACTGAGTAAACATAGAAGTACGTATATATTCAACTGTCCTACATTTAATACTGGTGAAGAGTGACCTTCCGCATCAGTAAGGCTAACCAGAGGCGCTACCAAAGCAACCTAGTCCCCCCACTGAATGCCAGGAGAATAACTAAGCCAACTCTAGCTGCTGAGAAGCCAAACCTGTACTAGGCCAAGAGCATGGCAGCAACAGTAGTGGAGGGAGCAGCCATGGAGGGCAATGTTCAAGAGGACAAGCAGAGTTCTGATCCACCGAGGGGGGCCCAATGTCAAAGCCATTTCTATCTTTCAAGCCTTGAACTGTCTTCCTCGGGCAAGCAGGCTCAGGAGAGTCTAGGGATTTTTCTATTTCTGGGATGTGCCTTTCTATGAGCATACATTATGGCAGTCCACCCTTGTTGGGTTAATCATATGAACCTAAACGATGTACTTGAATATTCATTTGCAAGCCAATAAATACACGGGCAAAGCTCCTGGAGAGATCTCAGCGGATGTGAGATCTGCATAACACATCTGGTACACTGATGACGAAATGGCTAAGAAGTCACTACAGTAACTAGC